TGAACTACTCCTCCTCTATGGACCCAACAATCTTGGCTCTGCCCCTCTCACTACAACACCCGTCAGAATATTCTTCCTATTATCATCAATCAAAGCATTCCGCCCACGAATCATACTTCATCAACCCATTATTCCACCCATCAAGTGTCTTCCACTCCGGATCAGTACAACCCATTGGGCAATTCTCTCTACACTCACGATACCAACTCATCTTGGTCCCACAGTGATGCACTCCAGCACTCCACCCCCTATTCCTTTTCCAGTCAATTCTCCAATCAAAACAACTTGCATCCTCAGACATCCCATCTTGCTGCTCAAATCAGTCCGCTTCAGACTCACACAAGGTTAAATTCTTCAACTTTAGAAGCTGCCAACTTCCAAACTCAGCAGCAGGTCTCCAGACATACTCGTGGTGCATCAACAACAGCGGCCCGGGGCCGTGGCACACGGGGATCAGCAAAACCTAGTACCCGCGGCCGCCAGGTAGCTACAACAACCTCTTCTGCCTCTACCCCCGCTTCTTCTTCAATTGCCCCCACACATTCTACACCATTGCCAGCACGGGGCCGTGGCTCTCGAGCAGCCCCTTCTAGAGGTAGAGGCAATGCTCGCACTACCCGCATCACCCAGCCGATTCCAACCACCTCTTCGGTTTCAAGCACTCCATCCCTTCCTCCTCCGCTCATCAACATACATGAGCGTCCCAAGAGGAAACGACAACACCTTCAACCCGCTGAGCGTCCAACACCCGCACCGCGTCCTTATGAGGAGTTGATGAAACAATCTGAGGCAGAGCTTGCCATCGAGGCCCGCAAGTGGTCTAAGAAGGCCATGTCCAATTCTGATCGAATTTTTTTTGCTAACTACTTTCAAGAACAGCGGAAGATGCTCTGTATCAAAGCTATAGAGCGGGGTGTTTCTCTCCCGATGGTTGATGGTTTCCTGTAAGCACTCATTCATATTCCAATTGTTACTGCTGTACCACTAACTGCCACTTCTGACATCAGCGGAAAGCGAATGTCACTCAGGCAGTTAAGCCCATGGAATCGATTCATGAAGACTCCAGGTGCAAGAGCCGTTTTCCGTGGCCGTAAGTAACCTCCCTAATCATTCACTTTCACATCAAACACAAGGAATATTAAGTATCCTGATCTGAGAAATTCCCACAGCTCGAAAGGGGGTCAAGCATCGACCGGCCATGCCCGGTGTCTCTGCTATGTGGCAGAAGCTCAGTCCAGAGGAGAAGTTGCGTTACTCCAACCAACAGCCAGCTGCAATGTCCTCGCAAGATCCCAATGGGTCCCAAGAGGACGTTGAGAACGACGGGTTTGAGGATGTAGAAGACTCCGAAGACGATGACATGCCGGCAGAATTACGGGCAGGCATGAGACGAACCGCTTCGCTGAAGAGATCCGCTGCCCAGGTCCAGAACTTCATGGATGACTGGTCCCGCAAGGTCAGTGTTGCTTCATTTTTCACGTACTTTTTCACGTACTCTTCTCCATTTGCTAACTGGTTTTTTCACACCAGGCTGTGCACGTTGCCCAGACGTGCAGTTGCGAATGTCTGTTTGCAGTTCGAATACTCGTCCAACATTCTTTCCAGTTGTACAGACGACACATGTGCGACATCATTTCTCAAGGCTGCCGAGAGTCTCGATGGCCCCAAGCACTTCCCCTCACGAATGCAGGCTTACATTACTGGATACGAGGTATCCGACCTGGCTGCTGTTGCCAAGACCACCAAAGCATGTAAGCACTGAGTCCCGATTGGTTACCATTGTTACCATCAATGCTCATAAACTAATACCAAACCCGATGTACACTTTTTCTTCAACAGCTGCGATCAAATCCCGACCGGTATCGGCTATTGCCCGGATGTCCGAATTAGTTGGTAGGCCAGCTCCTGCTCTCCTCCTTCCAGTGCGATAAGTCAAAACTCACACATCAAACGTCCCACACAGCTGAAAAAACCAAAGGAGTGAAAACCCAATGGCCATGGACGGACACCGACTTCAGTCTGGCAAGCATCAAATACCGTTTGGTTCTGTTACCTGGAGCGAAGGTCGATGCGCAGTGGCTCAAGCAACCTAGTCGAAATCTTGGCCCTGCTCGACAGGCTCTCCTGCATCTCGACGACTCGACTCGACCTTGATGATAAACTCATTGATGTCGTGTACGACCCTACCATACCAGAGAACCGGCCACCTAAGGGTCACAAGTCCCGATCGCGCCAGTCCTCTTCCAACCCCTCATCACGTCACTCTTCTTCCGCCCCCTCCACCCGCGGTTGTCCTGGTCGCATTGATAGGACTTGCACCGGTGGCGTAGAAGGTGGTGACCACACAATTGATGAGGTACACAATAATTCACATAGATCAGACCATCTTCCCCCTCCTTTGTCTTTTGCTGATCTCGATCTAGATTAGCACATCATGTTAGTTTTTTCACTCTTTTTGTATCTGCTACACAAGAGTATGATGCTGCTGGTTATAACTTCAATTTTCACTCCAATATTCTCAATTTCTTA